CTGTGATTGTGCCAATGCATTCTAGCCTGGTCCACAGAGTGACATCCTGTCTTAAGAAACAAAACAATACAAAAAAATTCCACAATGCTATATACCATGGATTCCACACTGGAGGCAGTGGAATAAATAGGCCAGAGGGTTCCCAAGTTTCAATTTTTTTCCAGCTCTCTTGCCTCATCAATCAGCCTCATGACTTCTTTATTTTACTTTGAGAACAGTTGTGGAAAATTGTAAGTGTTGTTAAAACAATAAATATTACACAGTCCAAATACATTCATGTTCTCATATCTGAAACCTATGAATGTTACCTTGTATGTTCAAAGAAATTTAGCAAATGTGATTAGATTAAGGATTTTGAGGACAGGAGAAGATCCTGGATTATCTGGGTGAGACAGCAGAATCACAAGGTCCTATAATAGGGAGGGAGGAGGGTAACAGCGAGAGGGCAGCTGGGACTATGGAGAGGGATGCATGAGTAATGGGGGATGAGGCTATAGAACAGACAATGTTGGGGCATCTTGATGAGGAAAAGCAGAAAATCAGATTCTCTTTCTTAGGAACCTCCAGAAGGAATGGAGCCCTACTGACTCCTTAATTTTAGCTCAGTGAGACTTCTGACCTTTAGAGCTATAGGATAATAGATTTGTGTTGTATCAATCCAGTATTGTTATGGTAATTTGTTTCATGAGCAATAGAAAATGAATGCAAGAGGAAGAGATGGCTTCTTCTGTCTTTCTGAGTGCATGGCTGTCCTCTGTTCTCCAAAATATTTCCACCTTGCTATCATTTGCTGTCAATTTTGACAAGAGTTGGAGAACACTATATTGTAAGGGAAGGTAGCATCAGAATTCTTCTAAGATAAAGAATCTCTGGGGTCAAATCCCTTGATTAGCTCTTGTACAATATGTGTATCTGAGAGCCTAGGGGTCAGCTCTCACAGCAGATGAGAAAGGCCAGGTTGTTTGTTTTCATATTTGGAGGGCAAATTAAATTTGCGTGACACAATCTGAGAGGGAAGAATTGAGTCAGACAGATTGGAAGAGAAAGAGGCACTTTGGAGGTCGAGGGAATCACGATGTGTCCCAGCTCTGAAATCTTAAATAAAGTCATTTGCAGTTTGCAGAGGCTCAGAGAGACTGCTTTGATTAGAAAACTGCAAATAAAGCTAATTTAAGATTAAGGTGAGCACAGCATGAGTCAGAGGCCACAGGGGGCTGTGGATTCCACACTGTCCTTAGGGTTTCTTCTCCCTTTTTACAGGCTGTGGGCTCTTCTGTGAGATGGAAGTGGTCACATGGAAGGAACACACTAAGGTCAGATATATGTAGATTCAAATCCCAGCCCAGCCCACGCTGACCATGTGACTGTGCAAACCAACCAGGAGCTCTGATAATTGTTTTTTTCCCCTGTGCACTGCAGCCCTGTGAACACCATGGAGTGTCCTGAGGGTTGAACCAGATAATGCACTTTGAAATGTGTGTGTGTGTGTGTATAATACATACATATATATACACACATACACACACACACGCACACATATATATATATCTCTCTCTCCAGTCCCTTTTTATTTTATGCAGTCTTGAGTATCATAGAATTAAGAGGCTGTGCACTATGTTAGTAGCCAGATGTTATTTAAAATCAAATTTTTCAATAGTTATTCTACAACAAACAGGTGCCTGAGTGTAGGCAGTGGGGCTCATTTTGTGTTATTTCCACCATAAAATCTCCCACCAATATTTTTGTGTAGCATTTGAAAGATAAGATTACAGTTGACTATAACATCTTTAGTCTGTGTTTTCCCCGAGCCCATTTTGTTAGTGTCCACTCTTGGGTTCCTAAGGCTGTGGCCACAGGTCTGAGTTTTAAGTCCTTTCTTCCCACACTAGAGCCTTTCCTAAGACTTGGTCTGGCCTCCTCCATGCTGGAAATCCAGACCCACCTTCCACTTACCCTCCTCAGAATCCAGAACTAACACTCTGGAAGCCTTTCATTGTAAACCTTCCAAATGCAAATTCTGTCAGGAACCCTGCATCCAGGGTAAAAGTGTAAGAGACCAAAGCCATAGGGCAGGGCCTGGGATCCTAGGCCAGCTCTCCTCAGTCCTGTCCTCACTGATACTGAGTGGCGGGGACCCTGCTAGTGCAAAGGAGGGAGGGTCATCCAACGTCTCCAGAGTCTTTACTCAGCCAGACTCTGTTATAATTAGAAGGAAAGGAAGCACATGCTAAATAAATAAAAGTAAATTATTTGTACCTGTATATATGTATTTGTAACATACTTTACAAATTAAATATATATCTATGATATTTCAGATATAAGTTGTGTTAATACATTTGTATATACTGTGCATACATAATAAATATAATATGCCATTTCATGTAAATAAATATAATATTAATTGTTGTTCTAAGGTATGGTTTTAAACTTTGATAAGTTGAGCTTGAACATGAAAAACCAGCAATGGTGCCCACCCCATGGTCTCTTCCCCACTACAGAGCCCAAAGGTCAGGAGGCTCCGGACCCCCCTCATTTCCTTGCGGGGTCAAGCACTGACTCATAGATGGCTTTGGATGCTGAGGGATCCAATGGGAGTCTGGCGAACATGAAGCAGCAGGCGCGGAGGAGGTAGGGAGTGGGCCTCGGCTCCTGGTAGAGGGATGTTTTGTGCCCAGAGCTTACCATGGACTTTTCCTCCCCTGGGCCCCTGATGGACAGAGCAGCACATGTGGCTCATAGAATTAGGTCATCTGTGGCTTATAAGACAGGATTACAGGGGTGATCACAGGACAAAAGCACTCCACAGCTCGTTAGCAGCCTCCCCTCTGATTGGAGCCATATCGGATCTCTCTGCCCAGCTTCTATGGCTCACCCAGCTGCTGAGACTCTGTTCAGAATGGGTCATTTCTCCCCCATGCACAAACTTCTGAATACTTAGTATTTTATTGTCTGATATCCAAGCACCATGATTTGTTGACCATGATCTTTCCAAAAGGATTCATGGACTGAAGTAAGAACTAAGGTGTCAACACTGTGCCAGGATGTGACAGAAACAAGGATCACATCCCTGAAGACAAGGACAGCTCATGTGTGAGGTGAGGATGAATTGGCCTCATAAATTCAGAGCAGGATGTGGGAGAAAACACATTGACATTCTCCACTCCGTGATGCTCACCAGATGCACTGGAAGTTCCCATACAGAAGGTGGGAAGCAGGTGGGAAGAGAAGGGAGTTTGTGATTTCAGAGCTGCCTCCCATTCTGCTCCACTGAGAAGGCCCCAGATCTTCAGCAGACCCCAGGCAGGTGAGCAGCTGGGGTGAGATTTGTGTACCAGTAATGACAGGAGGACGGGGCACATGTCCCTGAAGGCAATTTGGATGCTGATAGCCAGAGTGACCAGGGCAGGCATGGTCTCCAGGGGGCATCAGGAGCTCAGAACCAGGCCTCAGTTCTGCTGGAGCTGGACTAGGATGCTGTTCATACTCTGGTCAGCCCAGCTGGTGACCCCCCCGACCTGGGACGCAGGGTTAGGGGCTGGAGAGAGGGTCCACACAATGTTGCCACTGGCATCTGAGTGGGGAACAAACATGAACATTCCCAAATATTAATACCAAAGAAGTAGTTCATTCCGTTTGATTAAATTTCAATCAGGAAGCAAAACAGGCTGAAAACAAGTAAATCTTTCTGCTTAATGCAAACAAACTGAGGATGAAGCCGGAGTCCTCCCTCCTCACCAGAGAGTCAGAACAGCAGCAGGAGAAGCAAAGTGAGGCCTCATGTCCAGGAGGGCCTCCTGAGGCTGATCCTGCTCAGGGTGGGTGGGGAGGGTGGATGAGTCTGCAGGGATTTTGACACCAAAATCAATGTGGCTGAATGGCTTAAACCACAGAAATTTATTTCTAACACTTTAGGAGCCTGGAAAGTCCAAGATCAAGGTCCAGAAAGGTTTTCTTTCTGATGAGGACTCTCTTTAATTTGCAGATGCCACCTTCTGGGCATGTCCCAACGTGACTGTCCCTCAGGGCACGCAGGGAGGGTGGGGGAGGGACAGAGTTCTATGGTGTCTCTCTTCATAAGGACGCTAATCCTGTGGTGTCAGGATCCCGCCCTGATCACCTCTTTAACCCTAATTACCTCCTTATAGACTTTCTCTCCATCTGCAACCATACTGGAGGTAAGAGACTCCAAATAGGAAATTGTGAAACCTAGTTCAGTCCATAAGCGGGGGGGTTTGGGGACACAGCCAAGGCGGTAGGGAGGGGCCAGATCAGGCTTCCGGTCTCAGAGCACAGGGATTTCCCATCACTAAACTCACTGGCAGCTCCTCCCAGGCGAACCATGTCACGCAGGAGACCCCAGTCCGGCCTTACGGCTCCGGGTCCCTAAGGGGACATGATCACTTTCACTTCCTCATTACTTTTAAGATGGGGGGGGAGGGGTCTATTTTTTGTTTATTATGGTGTTTGTCTGCCATCTATTGGCCACTTTCTAACATAGCATCTTACAGGATTTTAGATTCTAGGGTCCAATGAGTGTTGACTATGGATGAAATCTTTTCATAGGTATTCATGGAGTTGATCCTATGACATCCATCACTAGGACAGATTTTGTAGAACACATGAAATGGTCCCTCCCCTCAGTAAACCAGTCATCTAGTTGAGGACAAACGGTATGCAGGAAAAATATTTGTCACAAAACAATTAGGGTGGCTAGATTCTGGGATCCATGTGACATGCCAAAGATGTGGTTTTGGAAAAAAGAGTGGATTGTCAAGAACCCTGTAGGGCATAATGGCAGGGAGCGGGGTGAGAAGCTGAAGGCCCCTGGTTTGGATCTGTCAACCCAGCCTCATTCTTCCCATCCCAGAAACACTTCCAGAGCAGCTCTGAGAACCGCAGTAGCTTTCTGAGCTGAGGAAGCATCTGGGGACACCTGATCTTCCAAAAGAACAACTGCTGAGGTTTGTGCTGTCAGCTATAGCACTGCGAGTGATCAGATGTCATCATTTAAGTCTGTGCTAAGCAAAGTCATTTTGTAAGATGATGAAAATGTCTATGTGTATGAAGTGCAATAGGCTAGTCATTAGTCACATGTGGCTGCTGAGCACATGAAATGTCCCTGATGTAACTGAGAAGCTACATTTCTAATTTTAAGTATTTCTAATTGACACATTTGTGGCTACGCACTGCTAGTGTTTACCACGTGGAACAGCACAGCTGTAGACAGTAATAACCAGTAATGTCATTGGGACACCCAAGCTTCTAACTCTTAAGCAAAGGTGTGTCCCAGGACCAGGGTACCAAGCTGGTATGGGCCATGGCCAAGGTAGACAGAGCACATGGGTGGATCTCAGGAACCTTCCCTGGATTCTGCTCCTTCCAGGCCGGTGATGGAAACTGCCTCTCTTGGAGACACTGATTGGGAAGTTGGAGACTGGGGCCCACATACTTGTCCATAGAATCCGAGGTGGAAACAAAACACAGATCTTCCCCAGTTAATGATGTCCCTCTCCGTAGGCTTCCCAGCAGAGTCCTCCTGACTGATCAAGTGGGAGGTGAATGCTGGGCTCCCTGAGCAGTGGCCTCAATCTGAGCCATTGTTCCATGGGACATATGAACGCTGTCACATGGAGCCCCCATAGCTGAAACCAGGGAACTACAATCCAGAGGGCCAGAGCCCCATGTCCAGCATCCAGTGCTGCCCCTGCCTATGGTGATCCCAACTCAAAGGCAGAGACCCACCCAGTGATAAGGGGTTGAGTGGCGGGGAAGGGCTTTGGGGAACCTGCAAACTGTCAACAAAAGAAAGACCTGGACTTCCAAATTCTGAACCAGGGAACATTCTATGCCATGGGTGTGACCAGGACCAAGGTGCATGATGTATGATATTACAGTTAATTTTAACTTTACGGGAATGAAAATCACAGAAGGCATCTGATTATTTTAGATCTTGTTGACTTTTTCAGTGCACAGTGGTCCCTGTCCTTCCCATAATGATCCATAACAGTGGTCTTTGCTGTTTCTGTGGTCACCTGGCTGCCTCCTCACCACTGAGATGAATCTTCACTATGACCCTGGGGCCTTCCCTGATCAGCACAAATAAATGGCCTCAGCCTCCAGACACCACATACCATTACTGGTTTTTACACAATGTGTCAGCTACATAAATTATTCTCTGCACTTTTATTATGCATTTATTCTTCCTGCGTGGCTCTTTCCCCTACTGAATATCAGTACTTGGGACCCAAAATTGTCACTTTACTCATGTGCATGTAACCTTCACTGGTGGCTTTTACTTCTTCCTGAAAATGCTGACATTAAGTGAAACTTTATTAAATGAAAAACTATGTTTGTTCTACTTTATTGGGAAAAAAATATGGTGCATTTCCCTTAACTAAAGACATTTAACCACTTTTATAGTTGAAAAAAGGCCAACTGGACATGGAAAAGCATGTTTGTAGGCGTAACAAGCAAGTTCAGTAGCAGATCCACTACCATTGAACCTCGAGGAGCACCCGGAGATGGACTGGGAAGCATAGTTGGTGAGAAGCTTTGGGGCCTGATCTTCTTTCTACTGGTGCTAGTATAAGTAGTTGCCAATGCCCTGACTCACCCATCAGGTGATGGTGACTGTCTCCCCTGGAGTAACAGACAGGAAGGCTGGAGCCTGGCTCAGCACAACCTCACACCTGGAGACTGAAAACACACAGCAAGCATTAGCACAGCAGAACTCTATGTATATGGAAGTCACCACTAATCTAGTTAGGCAACAGGAAAGAAAATGGATTAAAATTGTGGATTTAAAAAGCAAGCCAAAATTCACACAGTGCAGGGTTCCCAGTGAAAGAAATTACGGATTGAAATTATACCCCCATCAAGCTTTGTGGAAATATTCTCACCTAGATCCCAGAGCAGCAGAAACCCAAGGAGTTGTGATGGCAACATCTTGCTGCCTTGACTTGTCAGTTTTGCTCATGCCACATTCTGAGAAATAGTCTGTTATAACATACAGGACCACTTCAAGGTAAGAAGAACGATATATGCAGTTATGGGGATGACCCCATATGGGTTTAAATAACAGACATCACTGTTGTCAGAAGAGTGCCCTCCCCGCTCCTTCTGCGAGTGTGAGAGTTGTCCTCAGCTGGCACCTGCAGATGAGCGATGCTGAGGCTCCAGCAGGGCTTGACCAGACCCAGGGCCCATCTGCAGAGTGAAGGCAGAGTCCATCACAGTGTGTGGGAGGGTCTGCAGTCATCTGGGGTGAACAGCAGCTCGCATCCACAGTCTTGGCCCAGGGCTTTGTTAACTCTCCTGCTCTTTGTCACAAAGAGGGCTGAAGAAACTTTGATCCTGTGGACACGTCACAAAGCATCACTCTATATAGCACTATATTGATGTCATCATCTTGAGTAGACATGATGAGCTGGACATTAAAAGGACTCTGGATTTATTGTGAAAACACGTATGCTCTAAAGGGTGAAAAGCAATCCCAAAATTTCAAAAGCCTGTCATACTGGGGAAGATATAGTCTTTAGGAAAGGAATGTGAGTCGTCCTCTTCAAGGCAAGGACAAATAATTGCAGCTTACATCTCCGACCACCGAGAATACAGGCACAGTGTTGACAAGGCCTTACTAGAGTGTTGACACAACAAATTCCATGCCTGGGTCAACTACATCATCCCGTTTATTAAACTAAGTTGGAAGGCTATCTCTTTGGAGTTAGCTCAGAGAAGGGAAAGATTTTGATGCAGGTTTTGGGTTTGGATACAAGTGGCTCTGTCACCTGAGCCAAATGATCCAGCACATTGCTTGGTGCTAGACGCATCTGAATTAAATAGGTGCACTCTGTGAACTCTCTTGCAAGCTTCAAAAAAAAAAAAAAGTCACATTAGAAAACTCTAGGATTCTAGGAAAGACCATGCAATGCCCAGAAAACAAGCAAAGAAACAAAAAACCCCAAAATTGCATTGTTCAAAATGAAGCTTCCATAATGTCACAGGGTCCTGATAGACGTGCTTGTGAGGAATTAAGTAGTTATGTGGCTAAGTTGCCCCTCATAAACTGGGAACGTCATTCTCACCTATTTTTAAGGTCAGGTAAGTTTCACCACCACTCAATATTAGGATGGAGATGTTACTTTGGGGACTAAATTTAAGCAGATTCAGAGAGAATGTTTCTTTTCCATGGACAGGTGCTCAAGTTCCCAGGATCACTTCCTTCTCTCACCCTAACACCTCTGCATCAGCTCACTCTTATGACCTCATGGGTTTTCCCAATCAGCTAGACGGGGGAGTACCAAAAATAAAAATAAAAAATAAAAAAGACAAACAAACAAACAAAAAATAAGAGGAAGCTAGGCTTCTTCTTGAATAGATTATCACGACATATTTGTGCAAGTAATGTGGATTGTGCTCACACAATGGCCACAATCATAGGTGGCTGTGAAACATTCCCTTGAGTTAGCGTGGACTTGAACACAGCACATCTTCATCCAATTGTGTGGATAAAGAAGTGTCTTGAGTCAAGTATACACATGGATTCCTGAATAGCTGCTTGACCAAGGTCCTGGAAAAGAAGCTTGGACAATCAGACACAAGAAGCTCTAGAGAAGAGGCATGGAGATGCACTAATGTGAGAAAACATTATGGCGGAGAATTTAATTTATTATGTCAATACAGCAGAAAATACTGACACAGATAAGACACCAAGGAATCATCCATACTGGAAGATTCATCTACCACTATGCAGATGAACTGTATCCAGCCTTTTCTCTTAACTTCCTCAGTATTTGCATAATAGATTCCTAAAGAAAGTAGCCATAAAGACCTGGGGGAAACTATGCACTTACACAATGATATGAGCCATGCCTTACCACTAGCATCTCCAGCTGCATTGATCCTACTATCGCCACTTTTGGATATCTGACTTCTCAGCAGTTGAGACAAGTGTCATCAACAAATGAGTGATAATTTGGGATATCAGATCACTGTCCCCTGGAGGTGACTGTGATGTATCTTCACCTGGATTCTTTTGTATTCTAGATCTATGTTTGCTTTTCCTGCCCACAGATAATTAGCTATTCTAGTGCTCAGAGAGTGTACACTTTTCTGATACGGGACTCTTTCCAAATCAGGAATCTATATTTTAGAGGAAAAGGGAAATTCTAGATATATGATTATGGCAACCATTGGTCCTACCAAATACATTATCCAAAGACGTCCACGTGGGTATAACATTTTGCAAATTTTAGATGCTTTCCTTCAAGCAATGATGAATCTTTAAACAGATGACCATGATAACCTGAATGAATGGTCCAGGAATCAAGTGGACAAAGGTAGGAGCAACTTCTCTAATCATCATTCACAGGAACACAGCTGGGAGATACATGTTTCCAGCCATGCCATTCTAGACCCTGCTGACCACAGGTCCTGATACCCAGGAGTGGATGCTTCTAGTTGGGAACACAAGAGGAGATCCTGAACCTATGGTAATGCAGGGTTCCTCCTGCAAGTACAGAAAATGGCAAACCAAATAATTACCTATTTTAACAAAGTTAAATAGTAGAGCCAACATGTAGTGATAGTTTTCTGTCACTTCTTTGGTGAGAGGAGAATGTCTGGGAGTATGTCTGGACTGAGCGACAGTGAAGAACACATGTCATAATCAGACGGTGACTGTCCACACGTTAATATAAAGTAAAGTTGGGAATAATTGAAAGGAGGGAAGAAAGGGAAAACATCTTTAAGTAAATCCAGTACTAATGGGTGGCCAAGCCACAGCTCCAGCTCTTCCAGAAGGAGTACTTACAAAGCAGGAGACTCCAGGGCTCAACAAATGTATGCTACTTTTTTTTTTTTTTCTAGTTTTGTGTCCTATGATATACTTCCGTCAGCCGCATCTTTCATGTATGCTCGTTTTTGATTGCAGATCTGGAAACTACAAATCACTATTTTCAAGGTAACCATAGCCACATGAAAATTATTGTTGTCTGCTCTGACCCTAGTTCAGTTGATTAAAAATATTCAACCAAAATCCGGGCAGCTACAGGTATACAAATTACACTAGGATACTTGTAGGTAGAAGTAGAATAGCAAATGCTTTATCTGATTAAATATCTGCCTTTTTGCAGTCCAGCAGCCATGGCAGTGATATAAATAAGGGAACTTGTTAGATGTTCAAAATTTCAAGCTGGCACCATAACACAATATCCAAAATGTCCAGACATCAATCAAAAAGCACTCTTCATACCCCAAACTAGGAAAATCTCAACATGAATGAGAAAAGTCAATCAGTAAATACTGACCTCTACATAATAGGCATGTACAAATTATCTTGAAAGAATTTTAAAACAGCCATTATAAAAATGCATCACAGAACAATTGCAAACATGCTTGAAAAATATGAAATAATAGAAAGCATCAGGAAGAAAATACAAAATGTAACCAAGGAAAAATTGAAATTTTAGAAATTAAAATAAGAAAACAGATCAACAGAAAAGATTAGCCAGAAAAAAAAACCCCAAAGTGCAGACTTAAAATTTAAAATAATAACATTAAATACATAAACTATGAAATTTGAAAAGAGATAGAGATTGGTGAATCTATAAGAAAAGTCCCAACTATATGTTGTCTATCAGACACTCACATCAAATATAACAGTACAAGTAAGTTGAATACAAGAGAAAGAAAAAGTATATACCATATTAAGTTTAATAAAAAGAAATCAGAGGTCATTAATATCAATATCAGATGTATAGACTATAGAGCCAAAGAAAATTATCAGCGACAGAAAGGTATATACAAGAAAACAAAGCAACTTGAAATGTGTATGCACCAAACAACAGAGCAACAAAGTGCATGTGGCAAAAACAAACAAACAAATAAACAAAAATTACACTTGGAGACTTTAATTCTTCTTCTCAGCAATTGATAGGACAACTAATCAGAAACTGGCAAGGATAAAGACGCATTCAACAACATCATCAACCCACAGGATCAAACTGACAATTATAGAACACTCCAAACAACAATAGTGGAATTCAAATTTTTCCAAGTGCCTACAGAACATGTACCAAGATAGGCTGTATCCTGCCCACAAAACACTTCAACACATTTAAAATAATTACAATTATAGTAAGTGTGTACTCTGACCACAGAGAAATCAAACCAGAAATCAATCTTGAAAATGTAACCAGAAAATTTTCAAACACTTGGAAGATAAACAATATAGTTTTTGTTTTTTGGGTTTTTTTTTCCCCAAAGAACTAGGTTTTAGCTTATCTGTCTCATGGTTGTGCAAGCTGTACTAACAAGGCACCGGCGTCTGTTCAGCTTCCGGTGAGTCTTCCGGAAGCTTTTAATCATTGCAGAAAAGTAAGGGGAGCAGGAGTGTCACATAGTGAGAGAGAGAGAGCAAGAGAGCCAGGAAGAGGTGCCAGGCTCTTTAAAACATCCAGCTCTAGAGTCACCTAATATAGTGAGAACTCCCTCTTTGCCTTGGGAAGGGCACCAAGCCATTCATGAGAGATCTGCCTGCATAACAAAAACATCACCGTCAGGATGTACCTCCAACAGAAGGGACATTTCAGCCTGAGGTTTGGAGGGGACAAACATCCAAATTATAACAATATGCACATGCATAGATGCATGTGTATTTCCATAAATTTCCCTCTGCTGACCACCTGCATGTATTTTTTTCCCTCATACTCCAAACTCTACTCACCTGCAAATACGTCCACTTAATCTGCGTGTTTATTGTCCTCTCAATCCCGAAGTGAGCAACATTCACAAACTCCTCTTATATTATCCCTAATTTAGAAGGTCCCAAATCCATTTTGCATCAGTAAATCACAAAAGAATAGCATATGGTAAAAACCTCCAGGTCACTCCTAATCCCTCTCTTTCCTCCTCTTCTCCCATCTGGGAGGTTCATTGCCATTACTTCCAAAATAGGGTACCATCTGCTTATGTTTTCAACAATCTGCACTAACCAAAGACTACTCCAGGATTCATTTCACCCAGTTGACTGTATTCCTTGCTCCTCACGGCCCAACTACAATTATCAATTTTTTAAAAAATAAATAGTGTCTCAAGAATGCTCTATTTTAAAAGTATCCCATAGAGTCCTACTGTACTTAGAAAAGCTTTTGCTCCCCAAAATAAACCAAGGGCTATTTTATTTCTCACTTGTCATGTTTTATGATCTTTAGGACACTGAGATAAAACAGTTCTCACCTGCTTCCTTTCTTGCTGTGTTTGCGAACCCTAAGATCAAAACGGGAAGAAGCCTGGGCCCATCTGCTGACATCACTGCTATTCTGTCCATTGTTTACTCTTAACATGTGTGTTAATTTTTATGGTCATGTAACAAATTACCACAAATTTATCGGCTTAAGACTACAGCCATTTATAATCTCCCAGTTTCTGAGTCAGGAGTGTGCACACGGCTTAGTGGTTTTGTCCTGAAGGGTTTTTATTTATTTATTTGTCTGTTTATTTTTATTTCAATTGCATTTTGGGGAACAGCTGGTGTTTGGTTACATGAATGAATTCTTTAATGGTGATTTCTGAGATTTTGTCACACTCATAACCCAAGCAATGTATGCTGTACCCAGTGTATAGTCTTTTATCTCTTGCCAGTCCCTTCACATTCCCCCGAGTCCCCAAAATCCAATGTATCATTCTTATACCTTTGTGTCCCCATAGCTTAGCTCCCATATATGAGTGAGAACATATGACACTAGGTTTTCCATTCCTGAGTTACTTCACTTAGAATAATTGCCTCCAGTTCTATCCAAGTGGTTGAAATGATATTATTTCATTCCTTTTTATGGCTGAGTAGTATTCTACTACATATTTGTGTGTGTGTGTATATATATGTACATATGTGCGTGTATATGTACATACGTATATGTATGTATATATACATGTATATCTATATATGTATACATAGGTGTGTATATAGTATATATACATGTATATATGTATGTGTATATATACGTATATATATGTGTGTGTGTGTATATATATGGCATATGAGCTGGTCTCATATTTTTGCAGTTGCAAATTGTGCTGCTGTAAACACGCATGTGCAAGTATCTCTTTTGTATAATGACTTCTTTTCCTCTGGGTAGATACCTAGTAGTGGATTGCTGGATCAGATAGGTCTACTTTTAATTCATTAAGGAATCACCACACTGTTTTCCATAGTGCTTATACTAGTTACATTCCAACCCACAGTGTAAAAGCATTCCCATTTCATGGCATTCACCCCAATATCTATAACTTTTTCCTTTTCTGATTTTACCCATTCTTGCAGGAGTGAGGTGGTATTGCATTGTAGTTTTGATTTGCATTTCCCTGATAATTACTGATGTTGAGCTTTTTCCATATGTTTGTTGACCATTTGTATATCTTCTTTTGAGAATTGTCTATTCGTGTCCTTAGCCCACTTGCTGATAGGACTGTTTGTTTTTTCTTGCTGATTTTTTTGAGTTCTTTGTAGGTTCTGGATATTAGTCCTTTGTTGGTGGTATAGATCATGAAGATTTTCTCCCACTCTATGGGTTGTCTCTATTAACTCTGCTGATTATTTCTTTTACTGTGTAGAAGCTTTTTAGTTTAATAAGTCTGATATATTTATCTTTCTTTTTCTTGCATTTGTTTTGGGGTGTCTGGTCATGAAGACTTTGCCCAAGCCAACGTCTAGAAGGGTTTTTTAATGTTGTCTCCTTGAATCTTTATAATTTCGGATCTTAGATTTAAGTCTTTGATCCATCTTGAATTTATTTTATATAAGGTGAGAGATGACCCGAAAAGGTCCTAGAATTGGTAAATGAATTCAGCAAAGTTTCAGGACACAAAACGAATGTACACAAATCAATAGCTCTGCTATATACCAATAGTGACCAAGCTGAGAGTCAAATCAAGAACTCAACCCCTTTCATGATAGCTCATAAAAGAGAAATACTTAGGAAAATACCTAACTCAGGACATGAAAGATCTCTACAAGGAAAACTACAAGAAACTGTTGATAGAAATCATAGATGACACAAACAAATGGAAACACATCCCACGCTCATGGATAGGTAGAATCAATATCATGAAAATGACCTTACTTCCAAAAGCAATCTATAAATTCAGTGCAGTTCCCGTAGGAGTACCACCATCCTTCTTCACAGAACTAGAAAATAAACTATCCTAAAATTCAAGTGGAATCAAAAAAGAAGCCCAAATAACCAAGGCAAGACTAAGCCAAAAGAACAAATCTGGAGGCATCACATTACTCAACTTCAAGCTATACTACAAGGTCATAGTCACTCAAACAGCATGGTACTCATATAAAAATAGACACATAAACCAATGGAACATACTAGAGAACCCAGAGATAAAGTCAAATACTTACAATATACTAATCTTTGACAAAGCAAACAGAAACATAAAGTGGGGAAACGACGTCCTATGCAACAAAAGGTGCTCAGATAATTGGCAAGTCACATGTAGAAGAATGTCCATAAGGTTTTACAAGACTTTACCACAGTGTAGACTGCATTCTCACCTGAGACTCACCTGAGTACACATGCACTTTAAAGCTCTTTCAGATTGCTGCAGAACTAATTTCATTGAGTGTCTATGACTTAGGACTTTAACTTCTTATTGGATCCTGACTGAAGGTTGCTCTCAGGTCCTAGATGCTGTGGGCAATTCCCTGCCATGTGATCTTCCCATAAGCAATGTACACATGACTCTGTGCTTGCTCAAGAAAAGCAGAGAGTGTCTCTCTCCAGTCTGCTAGGACAGACACTTAAATAATACAATGCAATCATTGGAAATACATCTCATCACTCCTGCCATACTATATCGGTTAGAAGTGAGTCCTAGATTCTGCCTGCTCTCAGTGGGAATAGATTATACAAGGCTGTGACTCATCAGGGAGAGGGTCATGCTAGGGTGTTTCAGCATCTTCAGTTTTCTCAAGTATCAGAGTACTGATACTGGGTGAGAAATCTGTCCCACATCCACTGACGCTGAGTAGACCTGGGACCCCAGGGGCACCTGGGAAGCAACCTTTATAAGAGGTGTTTTAGGCTGACTCATCTTCTGTTGGTGTACAACATTAACAAAATATCTTAATTTGTCCTATTAAGTTTATCCTGACATATCTTTGAAGTTCCTTAATTGCAGGTATTATAAGCCAATTCGGTCCAAATATATTCAGAATTTATATTTAATAATAGAAAAACAGATTATGAAGTAGTCTGCAAAACAAGACTCAGAGCAATAGTGTCAATACTCAACTGCTTTGGCTTCATGCTGGATTAGCTGAGACCATTTGCATGAGTGATAGAAAAGGTACTGGATGCCAGATACTGCTGTGAGCACTATTGGCCTGCTGCCTCTAGAAATGTGCACAGGGCCAAGGCTACAACCATAGGTCACAAAATATAAATATAATATAGCATTTTTGTTTGTTAATTCAAACGCTTATTACTTCTACCATTACATAATACCATAATTGATAGTCTCCATTCTGGATAAAAATATTATTAGAGCACTCTTTAAATGTGGCATATTTAAAGCATACATTTCTGTGTATTTCTTACTGGAATACAAAATCATATGTGGTATCAAATATTGTAAACTCTGACATAATTACCATCATTTTTTCAGATTTTTTTACTTCATTTTCAACATAGATGTGATCATGTCATGTGCATTTTATTGATTGTTCTCAACATCAATTTCTTCTATTAATAATAAAATAACAAAGTTGACATTCTCCCATTTTAACTTAATTTAAAATGCAAAAGTAAAAGGAATGAGGTAGTGGTTCTTAGAAGAGAAATAAAAGCAATTCAACAAATGCAGGAAAAAAATAATAAATTTTAAAAATCATATTTATAATGACAACATAGTACTATAGACAAAGTGAACCAAATTACCTAAAATTTCATGGGAGAAATGCACCATTTTAGGTCAACTGATGTTTTTCTCTCATTGAGTTATTTTATGAAACTTGCCAACTGGTGAGTGTCGGTGGAGGTTCCGGCATGGCCCAAGCAGAGGGACTCTATGAGGAAGGAGAATCCACGTAAGTTTGGCAGTTCTTGGCGCTGCTTTAACAGAGTAGGCAAGAGCTGAGTTCTTAACACCAGGCTGGATTTCGTATTGAGACATTTGCTGAGGTGTGGGTTAGAAAGAATCGCTGGAGATTGGATGAGAAAGGTAGACTGAAAGCTCCCACATTCTCCTGAGTTTTCCTTCTAATCCTGCACTGATTGTCCTTCATGCAGGTCTAAAATATAGGCCTTAGGCTCCTATCATGAAACTCCTACTGATCTTCCCAGCCATAGCTCAGCCCTGATTAACATTTTAACTAATTTGATATAAGGTATCTCCTGAATGACCATTCTCTCTCGTTTGATCCCCAGATATAGGACATACGTGAAATCAATTTTTGGAAGCTCACCTATGTCTTGTTGGGTTGACTGGGAAGGTGTGACATGACCTAACCTTAGGTCCTCAGGTGATATGACCCAACCTCACTTTTGCACAGGAACGTCTGTAACCGTTGAGTTACTAAATTCCTAGAGCCCCACAATAAGCACAACGACCCTATGAACTTGTAGTGGCATCAGGGCACAGCCTTGAAGGGCATGCAGGGGTCTATTCAACACTCTGATTCTTTCCAAGAAATACTTACAAGTTTCCATCTTGGTTAGTAGTTCAACTCCAACCACACCAGCATAGGGACCCCAGCAAACATGAGCAACAGAGCTGGGTTTGCACCAACAGATGACCTCTGCCACATGTCCTTCATGCTTGCTTTCACTGCTGCTGTCCAAAATCTTAATATTCTTATTTTGTACCAGGCAAAAAATTGCCATGCGTTATCTAATTTTTTTCAAAATTCTGTTGGGTGTGGCATAAAGCACGCATGCTACCTAATTCTTCCAAACTTAAATATTTATTTCTAAAACCCTTGATTTGCAATTCAAAATCCTCACCTTTTATTTCAACCTGCTGTGCCTGAGACTGGTCAAACACATTGGACACATGACTTTTGTTTTTAAGTGGATTTAACAAAGTCAACCTAGTAGCCCCAAAACAGGAATGTACATTGTTTGACATGGGTAATTCCTGAAATCGTGATGTAAAATGCTATGCCTGCCCCTTTGCTGGAGAGAGACATATGCTAAGAAAATGTGGAAGTGTGAAGGTGGGGGGAAGAAGAGAAACAGTTTTCATGTTACTAAACAAACCCGGCTGTGTCTGTAACCGGTAACTATTCAAACAAAAGAAAATCCAAAAAACATATCAGTTTTAGGTTGACATGGAGTAGCCTTAATTACAAAGTCGTTACACTGAATCTTTTTAGTTGAAAAATAGGTGTAGGAAAGGCTAGGGGGATTTAGATGAACTTTCATTCAGTTTTCTCCATTATCATGTCTGGTTGCTCAGTGGGCACTTGGACCCC